TATCTATCTATCTATCTATCTATCTATCTATCTATCTATCTATCTATCTATCATCATACCTGTCTATCATCTGTCTATCTATCATCTATCTATCTCTATCTATCTATCTATCTATCTATCTATCTATCTATCTATCTATCTATCTATCTATCTATCTATCTATCTCTATCTCTATCTATTGAACTCTATCTATCTATCTATCTATCTATCTATCTATCTATCTATCTCTATCTCTATTTATCTATCTCTATCTATCTCTTTATCTCTCTCTGTCTATCTATCCCTGTCTGTCTGTCTGTCTGTCTGTCTGTCTGTCTATCTATCTATCTATCTATCTATCTATCTATCTATCTATCTATCTCTATCTCTATCTCTATTTATCTATCTCTATCTATCTCTTTATCTCTCTCTATCTCTGTCTATCTATCTATCCCTATCTATCTATCTATCTATCTATCTATCTATCTATCTATCTATCTATCTATCTATCATCTATCTGTCTATCTATCTATCTATCTATCTATCTATCTATCTATCTATCTATCTATCCCTATCTGTCTATCTATCTATCTATCTATCTATCTATCTATCTATCTATCATCTATCTATCTTCAAATGTTGACAACTTTCTTGGAGAGAGAGAGATTTTCTTCCTGTAGCCAATGGAATAAAACCAGAAAGTTGGCCTTTTGTGGTTCGTTACTGCTTCATTTAAGAGACTTTACATGGCTGCCCACTCACTTTCAGTGACCAGATCTGGGGGGGAGGGGGGTCTTACAATCCACCTCTCTCAGGTTTTCTTACAGGCTTCATCGTTAGAATCAACTGATGTGGGATTGGGTTCTCCAGCTGGTGTCCTTCTTCTGTGGGCTCCATATGTTTCCCGCCCCCAGCTGAATGCTAACATTTAAGCCAATTATTTTAATTATCCAAGAAAAGTGGGGTGCTGGCATTCGGAAAGCATCCTCTCTCATTTCAAGAATGCCTCTGGCTCCAGGACAGGCATTCTCAGATGATGAAGTGGGTTGCTGCTTTGTTTAACAGATGCCCAACTCCCAGAAACAGAGTTGGGAGGAACCTTGGGAGTCTACCAGTCCAAGCTTCTGCTTAAGCGTGAGGCCCTGTGCCATTGTAGACAAATATTTCTCCAATCTCTTTTTAAAAAACCTTCAGTGATGGAGCGTCAGCAACTCTAGGAGGCAAGCCGTTCTAGTGATGAATCATTCTCACGATCAGGAAATTTCTTCCGATATGCAGGTTGGATCTCCCTTGGAGGAGCTTCCATCCATGGCTTCCATCCAAGTGTTTTTGGAGAATAAGTCAATCCTCTCTTCTCTGTGATAGCACCACAAATGCTGGAAGGCAGCTAGGAGGTCACCCCTTAAGCCTTCTCTTCGTTAGGCGGAACATACATAGTTCCTTTAGTATTCAACAATATTATATTTAGGCTTCCAACCAGGGGTGCGCTTCAAAAATTGTAGCAGCCAGTTCTCTCCTAGTTTTGCTGAGTGGGCGTGGCCTAGTTGGCCTCCTGCACCACAGCAGGGGGGGGGGTTACCCTCCCCGGGCTCCGGAGGCTTTGCTTGAGCCTCCGGGATGGTGAAAATGGCCTCCCCAGGGTCCGGAGGCCCTCTGTAGGCCGGAAACGGGCCTGTTTCCAGCCTTCCCAAACTTCCGGGAGGCCCATTTTTCACCCTCCCCGAGCCTCCACGGGGTCCCTGCACTTACCTGCCTCCAAAACTGGCCACGTGGGGACTCCTGGGAGGGGTGGGGTGGGTGGGGCGGGGCCAGCCAGGAGTGGGATTTGGGGGTTCTCCAAACTGCACAGGATCTTAGCTTAGGGGCTCTCCTGAACCCCTGCGAACCCCCAGCATCCGACACCTGCTTCCAACCTCTTGTCATCTTTCTTGCTCTTCTTTGCCCTCTTTCTAGGGCCTCATAGAACGATTGAAACAACAAGTAGACAGAGGAAGAAGATATTCAGTTTTCTTTTAGCATTCAATTTTATCTCGCTGCGCAAGCTAGGAAGTATGTTTTTAAAGCCAATACTTATGAATATGAAATCCCGGTGAACATAAACTCCTTTCTCCTCAAAACTTCTATCTCGATGCTGTCAGGTTTTGGGGCAGCTGTTTTGTGAAAAGAGCATACAGTTGCAATTGCTGCCCTCTAGAGTTAAGACTGAGTTGATGAGACTGTAAATTGTAGACATAGTAACACTAAGTTCCTCTAGTGTTTTACATCTCAGATGGACGTTGTTGAGGACATTTAATTGGTTTTGAACGATTTCAGAAAGATGTGAGTGGCAGGGGGGAAAATAGCCATGAATCGTAGCCCAAAACCCAGGGGTGGGATTCTACCTGGTCCGACTGGTTCTAGAGAACCAGTTATTATGATTCTGCTCAGTTTGGAGAATCGCGCCACTGGCTGGCCGCTCCCTTCCCCGCCCACTCACTCCTTACATGGCATGCATGCCATCCAACTTGCCTGCCTTATGCCTTCGCCTAATTTTTGGTAAGTTGCTATTTTTCCTTTTTTCCCCCCCTGACCATCAGCTGTTCCGACAATCAGCCATGCCGGGAGATTTAACTTAGCTAGAAAGCAGGAAATCATCAGATTTCTTGCTGTCTAACTAAACTAAAAGCAGAGCTGAACCTTCCTTAGGACTGAAGCTTCCATTTTTCATTGCAGACCCAGGTAGCAGATTGCAGAAAGGTAGATCTCTGAATGAATCTGTGATTCTGTGAGCAATTCAATCTGCCTGCTTTACTTGATTTTTGGTAAAAGTTACTCCTTTTTTAATATAAAAAATCATTATTTACATAAATATTTACAATATTTACATACAAACCATGCCCACCCAGTCACATGATCACCAAGCCACACCCACAAATTAAGCCATGCCTATAGAACTGGTTGTTAAGAAATTTGAATCCCTGCCAAAAATAATTTAGGAAATCTCCTATTTTTCTGCCTGCTTGAGACTGAAAATGAGGCTGGATGGTAGCAGGAATTTGGCATCTGGAGATACGGCACCATCGGTGGATGGCTTATATTTTGCTTTTACACTTACACAAGCCAGAAATAAAAGTTCATTCGCTGATTTGGTATCTAAAATAGTTACCTCTGGAAAATGGAAGAACCTGTTGCTTGGTATGTTCTTCCTGTAGACACGAAAAAGGGACAGGAGACAATCGGGATCAGACATTTGAAATCCATGATTAAATGCCTCCCGAGGCTAGGCCTGATTTAACATTCATGAGGACAATGTTGGCACAACAAGGAGTTCCTCCTAGAAAAACTCAGAAGTTCACTATCATTTTGGATAGGTTCCAGCAATTCTGAAGCCCAGAAGAAAAAGAGAAAGTGAGTGAAGCTGACATGCCCTTGTTGGGGTCTGATTCTGAGGGCGAGATTGAGCAGCTGACAGGGAGTGTGGGAGTGTGGCTCTGGTGGCTGTGGAGGAATTGGGGAAAGGGCACAGTTCAGCTGGGTATTGAGGGCCACCCCCTCTTCATCCAGGGGCACGCAAGGAGGAACAGAGAAGGGAGCAATGTGGCTTATGGGAGAGAAAGGGGCCCTGATCCCTTTCATTAGTTGCAGTGGGAGAACAGGATATAAGAAGGGCATTTGCACATAGCACCTTGCTGCAAGCAAAGCGTGCATTATCTTTGTTGAGGTTTATAGGGGTTTTGGCATCTTCCCAATTGTTATCTTTTGTAAGTCTGCAATTTATTATCCTGGCCTGTTGTGATAATTACTTCAGTGTGGTTTGTGTTATTGTTTTTATTTCTACTTTATCTGTACTTTGGGTTTGGACTGCATTTCTTCCCTTTGTAGACTGTTTTTTGGGAGAGTTTGATCTCCAGCCGAGGATAACTGGACATTGGGGGCCAAATTGGAGGCATTAAAGGGAATTTATCTACTTTTGTGACTTTGTTATTTTTGTGCCATGCCCCGGGTCATCACAGAAGCATACTATAGAGGTAACTCTCAACTTATGTTCATTTAGTCACCATTTGAAGTTACAATAGCAATCGAAAAAGTGATGTATGATTGTTTTTTCACACTTATGACCGTTGCAGCTGTCGTTGCACGATCAAAATTCAGATCATGGCTCAAATTTATGACAGTTGCAGTGTCCCGGGGGGTATGTGTCACACGATCCCATTTTTGCAAACCTCTAACAAGCAAAGTCAGTGGAGGGGAAGTCAGATTCACTTAACAACTGGGTTACCAGCTTCAGAACTGCTGCCATTCACTTAGCAACTGGGGCAAGAAAGGATCGTGAAATGGGGCGAACCCTACTTCACTGCTTTCTCACTTAGCAACGGAAATTTTGGGCCGCAATTGTGCTCATAATCAGGGGTGGGCTCCAAAATTTTTTAGCAAAGGGTTTTCTGCCCGGTTACTAGGTGGGTGTGGCCATGGTGGGCATGGTCTACTACTTGTATCATGTGAATCTCTCTCCTTAAAAGCAATGCCCCTTTTACCAAGCTACTTCATTCTTCCAAGCATCTAAAGAATTCCTCCTTTCAAAGAAAGTTATTTGTACATTCTTTTCATCTGGGAATCCCAGAATAAGTTCACCAGAGGAGGTTTTGATGAATCGATTGAGTAGCCACTCCAAACATTCTCTGACCCATTTTTTTTTAATATATATAATTGTTTTACAGCCATGAGTTGTCCAGAAGGCCAACTTTACCAACAGTGTGGAAGTCCCTGCAACCAGACCTGCCGATCTCTCGCCCATCCTGACACAGACTGCCGTGAATTCTGTACCGAGGGCTGCTTTTGCCCCTTTGGGATGTACCTCGATCAGCAGGGGGATTGTGTGCCCAGATCCCAGTGCTCTTGCTACTACGATGGGGAGATCTTCCAGCCAGATGATGTCTTCTCGGATCACCACACCATGTGGTAAGCGTTGGAACCTGGGTTTCATCTCACATATGAATTCACATGGAGAAGTGTCAAATCGTAATCCCCTTTGTCAGTGGTGGGCTTCAAAAATTTTAGCCAAGGGTTCTCTGCCGGGTTGCTGGGTGGGTGTGTCAGCCTCCTGCATCGTGGTGTGTGGGAGGGGGCGTTTTTGCCCCCCCCGTGGACTCTGGAGGCTTTCCTTGAGTCTCCAGGAAAGTGAAAATGACCTACCTCCCTGGGCTCCGGAGGCCCTCTGCAAGTCGGAAACGGGCCCATTCCCAACCTCCCAGAATTTCCAGGGGGCCCATTTGTTGCCCTTCCGGAGCCTTGGCACATGCCCTGCACTTACCTGCATCCAAAATGGGCCATGTGGGGACTTCTGGGAGGCAGGGGTGGGATTCTACCAAGTTCAGACCGGTTCAATAGAACCGGTTGTTATGATTCTGCACAGTTTGGAGAACTGGCAAATCGTGCCCCTGGCTGGCCCCGCCCCTCTCTGCCTGCCCCTCCTCTCCCTGCTCAGTCAGTCCTTATTGCGCATGCGTGACATCGCGTGCATGCGCAACATTGCTGACTGCGTTCTCCCCCGCCCCCACACAGCCTAGTCACTCCTTACTGTATTTGCATCTTGCCCTTGGTGGGAGGGGCGGGGTGGATGGGGTCAGCCAGGAGTTGGATTTGGGGGTTGTCCAAACTGCACAGAATCTTATCTAGGGGCTCTCCCGAACCCTTATGAACCCCCAACTGCCTACCCCTGCCTTTCGTCCAATTTTGATTATATATTGAGTCTCAAAATATATAATGAGCGGTTGCCGGAACTGGGTATGTCTAATCTAGCAAAGGGAAGGACTAGGAGTGACATGATAGCAGCCTTCCAATGTTTGAGGGGCCGTCGCAAAGAAGAGGGGGTCAACCTATTCTCAAAAGCACCTAAAGGCAGCACAGGAAGCAATGGGTGGAAACTAATCAAGGAGAGAGGCAGAACTAAGGAGAAATTTCCTGACAGTGAGAACAATTAATCAGCGGGATGGCTTGCCTTCAGACATTGTGGCTGCTCCATCACTGGAGGTCTATGGAGATTCTCAGTCATCCAGCTCATGGTTGTCCCAAAGGTGCTCCAAACTCTTTTGCATTATTCAGGTGACCCGGAGTGCACAGATTAATCTCCAACCGGCCTCCATGACTCTCAGAGAGAGTGCTAATGACCAGATGACTGCAAAGACTAGAAAACCTTCCACTCTCCACCATTCAGTCAGAACTGAAGAAGCTTCTTGGACAAGAAGCAAAATGTCTTCAAAGAAAACAACAAAGTCCAGCTGCTTTTTGAAAAAGCTCCACCACTGGAGGTTTTTCAAAAGAGATCGGGCAGCTATTTGTCCAGAATAGTACAGGTTCTCTGGTTTGAATAGTGGACTAGAAGATTTCCAAGGTCCCTTCAAAGCCAAGAGCTTGTAGCCCAATAGCTATATTTTGACTCACCTCTACTGAACCAGTCTGTAGGTTCTAATCACCCTTAAGCGATTAGCAGTTCTATGAGAAGTAAAATCTATTTCAAAGCCCTGCACAGTCTCCAAATATAAGGCCTTGATATTTTCCCTTAGTATGTTTAAGAAATGGAAGCTTGATTGCAGAATAAGCCATCTCCAGAATGGCCAAGAGTGAAAAGGGACCCAGTTCTGGAGCCTTCAACATGTTCGGTTCTCTTTGCAATTGTTCATAGCAGCTTTTCCAGGGGTGGGGCTGCTGGGGGTTCGCAGGGGTTTGGGAGAGCTGCTGGCTAAGATTCTGTGCAGTTTGGAGAACCCCCAAATCCCAGTCTTGGATGGTCCCGTCCACCACCACCCTCCCCTCCCAGGAGTCCCCATGAGGCCCATTTTGAATGCAGGTAAGTGCAAGGCTCGGGTTGGGCAAAAAAACGGGCCTCCTGGAAGTTCGGGAAGGCTGGAAATGGGCCCATTTCCAGATTCCAGAGAGCCTCCGGAGCCCGGGGAGGCCATTTTCCCCCTCTTGGAGGTTCAAGAAAAGCCTCCGGAGCCCGGGGAGAGCAAAAACACCCCCCCACTACCACCACCATGGTGCAGGAGGCTGGCTAGGCCACGCCCACTATAGCCATGCCCAGCATGGCCACGCCCACCCAGCCACTGGGCGGAGAACCCTTTGCTAAAATTTTTGAAGCCCACCCCTGCGCCCTTCCTTCTTGCTGCATTGATTCATGCTGTTGGATGAAAACCAGCGGAGTCCAAAAATGTCAGACAAAGAAGAATGCGGTGTTTCGTCATCCTCACATTAATTAATTGCAATTAGCTTTACATCACTCCCCAGTGAAGTGCAGGCAGTTCCCTCCAGCAATTCATTAAGGTGCCTGTGGATAAAGTTCTCTCAAGCAAGCTTCCTAGACCCAATGTTGACATGGACCAACGGGGAAAATCGATATAAAGTCATTACTCAAAACTTACAAAATGTGCCAGATCAGATTATGTAACTGCCACTAATGAAGGAATGTCGTAGAGTGGTGCGGTGGCCTAGAGGTGGGGCTCCTGCCTCACAATCAGGAGGCTGTGAGTTCGATCCTAGGTAGAGGCAGATATTTCACTGGCATACTGAGATTAGATCTGCTGGGGAAAAAAAAACCCTCCGCATTGGCAATAGGAAGGGCATCTGGCCAGTAAATGCTCTGCTAGCTCCATTCAGTTGCCCAGACTCCACCCCACGAGGGATTATGGGGGTCAGTAAATGATGATAATGATGAATAATGAATGAAAAGAAGGACTAGGGGTGACATATAGCACCATTTCAACATTTGAGCAGTTCCTACAAGGATGAGGGGGATCAACCTATTTTCCAAAGCACCAAAAGGCAAGATCAGAAATGATGGATGGAAACTAATCAAGGAGAGAAGCAACCTGAAACTAAGGAGAAACTTCCGAACAGTGAGAGCAATCAACCCGTGGAATGGCTTGCCTTCAGAAGTTGTGATGTGCTCCATCACTGGAGGCTTTTAAGAAGAGACTGGACAACCATTTGACTCAAATTGTATAGGATCTCCTGCTCTAGCAGGGGTTGGACTCTTCCAACTCTATTATTCTATATTCTGTGTTCACCAGAAGAGAATATTTTTATCTTAGGCTTGAAGTATGGTTTGCTGCTCTCTGAGCGTGGTTGTTTTCTTGCAGACGTTTCATTACCAAACTCAGTAACACCATCAGTTTCTAGAAGGGAGCAGGGCTTGCTCTCTGTTTATATGCTAGTGGCTTGCCCTGTCCAGGTTGGTGGGGAGTGGTTCCATTAGACTGTTGTCTTACAACTCAGAAAATGTTCTGCTGTCCCGTGCCAGCATTTTCCCAGCATTTCTGCAAAATATGTTTTGGCCTCTAGAACTGGCAGCTTGCACGCTTGAGAGCTGAAGGTCGCTGACCCCAGAGGTCAACCAGGAAAACCCACGGTGTTTAAGGAAGCCAGGGCCATTATTTTAAAAGCCTTCTGCTTCTTTCTCTTTCCAGCTATTGTGAAAATGGCATCATGCACTGCAGCTCACAGAGACTTCCAGGAAGTTTCGTTCCAGATGTTCTCTTCCAAACTCATCGCTCCGCCAGAGGTAAATTTGCTTTTTGATATGTGCCATCTATTTCTTGTTTCTCTCCCTCTGCCCTTCTGCGTCCAGCAAGGCTTTCCTGAAGGCCTTTGCAGCCGATAACAGAACTCTGGATCGGTCCAGAGCTTTGTTATCAGTTACAGAGGCCTTCAGAAAAGCCTTGCCAGTCAGCAAGGCAGGTGTCGGGGTGTGTGAGGCCTGGCTACAATTGTCCAAAGGTAGATAGTAGGACAGTTCCACACCCCCCCCCCCATCCCTACCCTAGCTTAGTTTTTACCTGTGCACTTTGGAGTGGACGGGAACTTAATTAGGGCTTATTTGGAGGGTAGGGCTTATATTGGGTCCACGTGTAAAAATCAAGCTAGGACTTACTTTCAGGGTAGGTTGTATTTTCAAGGAAACAGGGTATCAGCAGTGCAATTGCGTATTTGCCACTGCAGTCATCTTGCTGTAACATTGTTGGACCCTTCTATATCTTTGCAAGAATTTCTCTTGGACTGACGGTGCCTTTCTTTCTTTCCTTAAAGCAAAGCGGAGTGTCTCCTGCAAGCATCCGATGACCATGTTTGTCTGTCCGGCAAATGACCCAAGAGTGAAAGGAGTGGAATGTATGAAGAGCTGTCAGAATTATGATCTGGGCTGCGTCAGTCATGGATGCATCTCGGGTTGCCTTTGCCCGACTGGATGGGTAAGAAAGTTGAGGTTCTTCAAGAAAACGTGTGCAGGAACCGGCAAGGCAACCTGCTTGTTCTTCTAGCCTTTATATGTCCCTCCTATCCAGCAGGGATCTGAGGGCAGGGGCAGGGATTCAGCTGGTTCAGGCTGGTTCGGGAGAACCGGATGTTAAATTTACATCCAGTTCGCCGAACTGGTCGTTGAATACAAGGGGTGCAATGGCTCAGTGGTTAAAGACACTGCGCTTCACCCAGAAAACTGACATCCAGGATTCGAGACCCGAGTTTTTACAATGGGTGAGCTCCCATTCTTGCCTCAGCTCCTGCCCGTCTAACAGGTTGAAAGCACGCGAATGTGAGTAGATTAATAGGTACCACTTTGTAGGAAGGTAACATCGTTCCCTGTGCCTTGGTGTATGGTCATGCTGGCCACATGATCATGAAAGATGTATTTGGACAACACTGGCTAAGAAACGGAGATGAGCAACACCCCCTAGAGTCCAATACGACTGGATAGGGGAAATCTTTACCTTTATTATGTGAATACAGCTGAGGAGTAACCCCAGTCCTCTCAAAGATCCTGTGCTTTGTCTGAATGTACTCCTATAGGGTTAAAGAAGTCAAGATGGCAATTGCAGCTACAGGACTGAGTGCCTTCATCATTTGGGGTTTGCAAAATTATATGATGGGATCTAAAAGTAGGAGTAGAATTTTACTGCCACTAGAGGGCAATATTGTTCAGCTTTTTTTACTCTGTTCTACTTCCAGAGTTTGCTAAGGACTTCTCTGTTTTAAAACTTAGGAGCAATTAGGAATTATTGCGGCTTTTGGTACCCCTGTGTGTCAAAAACAAAGGGAATTTTTTTTAGGGAAGGCTCAGAATTTCCAGAGTGTTAGAAGGGAATTAAAATCTTATTAGTTGCTTCAGGCTGCAAGTCACAGTTCATATTTTTTTAACCAGTTTTCATTTATATAGAGTTGTTGATCCAGAGTTTTGAATTGGATTTGGTCAAAAAAATAATTGGTCAATTGAGCTGTCAAATAATCCTCCAACCATGACCAGATGCTCTTACAGTGTAGAATGTTACTAAAAACAAATCATCGGTAGATTCAATGTTTTTCTAATGAACGGAACAGTTACTGGAAAAAAAATGGAACCACTTCTTTAAAAGAAATCTAATTATGAAATTAAGGTCAAGGGGATTTTGAGTGAACAGTCTTGAGCATGACATCATACAGATGTGGTGGCTTTTTTCAACATATTTTGACTAGGCTATGACCCTGGCAGTTTTGATAGTCTTCCAACCAGGTACAACCATGCTTATACTTATACCTGTTATCTAATACTTGCTTGACAAATAAAATAAATAAATAAATAAATATAAATAAATAAATTGAGACTAGCATAACTTAGCTTCCAAGATCAGCTAAATGCTGCCACCTAGCCAAGTCATTGTGGAATGGCGTGATTTTAAGACTTGGAAAAGTTTGGAAGAAGGAGAGCCGGTTTACTGTAGTTAAGTCACTAGTCTAGAAACTGGGAGACTGGGAGTTCTGGTCCAACTTTAGGCATTGTTGGAAGGAATATCCATCTGGTTCAGTTCCAATCTGGGAGAAAGACACCGGAAACATGGAGGCTGATTGTAAAAATGGCTTAATGATGAAGTAGAGCCATCAAGCACATGGTTCCGGGCAGCTGACCACATGGAGTTAAGAGTGGGTGGCTTTTATACCTTCTCTTGGGCTTTGCATTTGAACTTTCTGTTCCTGTGCAAGAACATGTATTCTATTGGCTGTTGCAGGGGTTATGTAGGGGTCATAGCTGGCTCTATAGGTTGTCTGAACTCCCAAGTTTGGTTGAAGTTTGGACTGCTGGGGATGGTGCAACTGAGATGATGCAATGAAGGGGCTTTGGGCAATTCTTATTATGGCTGAGGGCTAATCCTACCTTTGTTGGATCTTAGGTGAGGGTATTTGTTTATGAATAGAGCTATCTATCTCTTTATCTCTTAAGTGCTGACATAGGCTCTTAAGGAAGGTGAGGGCTGCTTTCCAAGAGTATGTTTCTCCATTTCTCACCCAGGGAAATATAATATTCTGCCTTCTTAATATTTCTCAAAATATTTCATTCTTCCAGGAGAGGGCTGGGTGCTAACTTTCTACAGCATGAAACTAGCTGAGTGACCTTGGGCCTGTCCTTTTCTCTTAACCCAGGAGGAAGGCAATGGCATATCACTTCTGGAAAAAAAATAACTTTAGTTAAGATAAACAATACATTCTTCATTTATTTTTAGGGAGAACCACTAAGATCATGACACATTTAATTTAAAAAGACCATTGTTTTATATTTGCTTTATTCCAGGTTTAACAGTAATTTTCAAAGACATTTGTATGAAATTACAGATTATTTTCCATACTTGGTGTCCATCCATAGTCTGGCCTCCTTAATTTCAGCTCTAGCTATTGATGGTTGTCTATTAATATTTATGATTTATTATTCCATCGAGCTGGCCAATTGCAATTCGTTCAGCAGACGAATGGTTTAAATGTAATTCATTATTGAAACATGCTATTTTGGATTAATTTAATTTCTTAATTTCATTTCATTTTTACAAATGTGAATTCAGCAAACTGCACACACTTAATTCAAGAAATTAAGCCAATGGTGGCTTTAGTGCACATGCCAGCATAGCCATGTCATTAAGGGGAGCTTTGATGAATAGCTGAGGAGGGAAACGGTTGTCCTCAACTCTTCATATTAGAATGACACAATAATAACTTTTTTGAAAGAATATAAGTCACCAGGCTGAGTTGCTTAGCTTTGTGAGACATCTACCCAACCCATCAGGGCAAGGATGCAGGGAATATCTATGGAGATCCTCAGTCATCCAGGTCATGGTTGTCCCAAAGTTCCTTTTTTCAGGAGGAAACTGGACTTCCTTGTCTTTTCTTTTGAAGACGTTTTGCTTCTCATCCAAGAAGCTTCTTCAGAACCGAAGAAACTTCTTGGATGAGGAGAGAAACGTCTTCAAAGAAAAACCAGAAAGTTCAGTTGCCCCTTGGAAAGCACCTTTGGGATGCAGGGAATGTTATGGTCTCCTCACCTAAGAAGATCCATTTAGTGCCATGATGGCGAACCTATGGCACTCATGCTACAGGTAGCATGCAGAGCTGTTTGTATGGGCACATGCACCCTGGCCAAACTTACTTCATTGCACATGCGTGCACCTCCCAGCTGTTTTTGGCCTGTTCTAGGGAAGCCTCTGCAGCCTCGGGAGGCCGAAAAATGGGCTGTCCGGAAATACTGGAAGTGCTGAAATGGGCCTGTTTTCAGCCTCCCAAGGCTCCAGAGGTTTCCCTTGAGCCTCAGGAGGTGAAAACAGCTTCCCCCAGGCTCCAGAGGCCCTCTGGAGGCTGAAAACAGGCACTTCTGGTATTTCTGGAAGGCCCGTTTTTCGGCCTCCTGGGGCTGCAGAGGTTTCCTTTGAGACTCGGGAGGTGAAAACAGCCTCAAACAGGCTGAAAATCAGCTGGGAGGTGCATGTATGCACAGTGCAGGTAAGGGGGTAGGGTGGGGGTGTTACGTGCGCATGTGCATGCTCAGGGGGGGCAGGGCACATTGCACTCTGGGTGCCAGCATGCTTTCGGCACACCACAACAAACAGGTTCGCCATCACTGATCTAGTGGGACCAAGAAGAAGGGCCTTGTCTGTGGTGGCTCCCTTTCTATGGAACATCATTTCATTGTAGATAAGAGTGGATCCCATCTTAAGGCTCTTTCAGAAGGCTTTGAAAATATGGTTTTGTCAGTGGTCCTGACAGTGGATCACAGGGTGACGTTGAGGCCATCAAGTGGTTTGTTTGATTGTTGTCTCCAGAAGAGTGGGACTTTATTTCTACAAGAGCAGTAACACTTAGATTTATATATCACTTCATAGTGCTTTAGAGCCCTCTCTAAAAACTCTTCCAAATTGTTTGTCTTCAAAACTGAAAGCAGTCAGGTTAAAAAAATGCTTAGAACAAGAATCATTTGTGATCTCAGTTTATTGCTAGATGATGCTTGTTCCCATGAGTTTTTGTGCGGCCATATAAATATAAATTTATATGGCTGTGGTGGCTCAGTGGCTAAGACGCTGAGCTCGTTGATCCGAAAATGGTTGGCAGTTTGAATCCCTAGTGCTGCGTAATGGAGTGAGGTCCCATTACTTGTCCCAGATTCTGCCAACCTAGCAGTTCGAAAGCATGTAAAAAATGCAAGTAAAAAATAGGGACCCCTTTGGTGGGAAGGTAACAGTGTTTTGTGCACCTTCGGCATTTAGTCAAGCTGGCCACATGACCATAGAGACGTCTTTGGACAGCGCTGGCTCTTCAACTTTGTAATGGAGGTGAGCACCGCCCCCTAGAGCCGGAAACGACTAGCATGTGTGTGAGGGGAACCTTTACCTTTAGCTTATAAGTTTTATTGGCTGTAAAAGTTAAATATCCATCTATTTCCGTTCTAGGTGCGACATAGAAATAAATGCATGGTCCCTGAGAATTGTCCCTGTTTTCACAACGGACAGGAATATGCTCCAGGACAAACAGTGACAAAAGATTGCAACACATGGTAAGAAACTAATCTCTTTGACGTTGATCTCCCATTTGGATCTTCATTTTGAAGCACGGCCAATAAATGTTCATCTTTTTTTCAGGAGACATAGGCAACGAGTGTAAAGAAATGGACAGGCAACATAGGCTATTTATAGCAAGCATTGATAAACATTGTATTATCCTCCATCATCCTTAGAAAAAGGGAACGAAAGTTACACTTGTTGAGCAGAGAATCAACCTGCCTTGTTTTTCACTAGTTCTCCTTCAGTTCGAGTAAAGAGAAGTGCACTCTCTGGACTTGTCCTGACTCCTGTGTTTTTTTTAAAAGCAGAGTGACTCTTACAATGCTGTAGTAGTAGCAATAGCATTAGACTTAGACTTAAGTAATTCCTGATACCTCTTTTCAGCACTCTCTGGGTGGCTTACAATAGAGAATATTTGCATCTTGCCCCCAACAATCTGGGTCCTCATTTTACTGACCTCGGAAGGATGGAAGGCTGAATCAACTTTGAGTCCTGTCAGGATCGAACTCCAGGCTGTGGGCAGAGTTTGCCTGCAATACTGCATTTTCACCACTGCGCCACCAGGGAGAGCCCTGGACAGTGGATAGCTGTTTTGTCTGACTCTCCTTAACTCCCTGCCTACAAAATGCAGGGAATAGAAATAGAAATAGAGATAGGGATAGGGATAGGGATAGGGATAGGGATAGGGATAGGGATAG